CTCCTCACCCCTCCCTCTCCCTCCCCTTCCCTCTCCCTCTTTACCCCTCCCTCCCTTCTCCTCCTTCCCCTTCCCTCCCCTCTTTACTCCTCTTTACCCCTCCTTACTTTGTTCGCCAATAGGCCTAATTTTGGACACACCGGTTTGCGGGGTTTTAACCCTACCAGTTAAAATTTTAACACAGTCCTTGAGTGGTCTTAGTAAAACCCCCTCCCTCTCCCTCCCCTTCCCTCTCCCTCTTTACCCCTCCCTCCCTTCTCCTCCTTCCCCTTCCCTCCCCTCTTTACTCCTCTTTACCCCTCCTTACTTTGTTCGCCAATAGGCCTAATTTTGGACACACCGGTTTGCGGGGTTTTAACCCTACCAGTTAAAATTTTAACACAGTCCTTGAGTGGTCTTAGTAAAACACAGGCTTTGCCAAGTGCATCTGTGTTTTGGTCTCCTTTTTGCATCTTTTTTTAAAACAATGATATTGATTCTTAGCCGCTGAGCTTACTGTTCAGGAAAGTGTGAGGGTTCAGTTATAACAGGCTCCATCCCATTAGGCAGTGCACAGACACCGCCTGAGACCGTCCCCTGCCCTGAGGCGTTGACAGCTTTAGATCTCCAAGGCAGGCACAGGGGGGCAGGAGAGACGCGCTGTCCCCGTTTCACAGACGGGGGAGCGTGGGCGCAGAGGTGCTGTGACTTGCCCAAGGCCACAGGGAGACCAGGGCAGAGCAAGAACATGTTGCCAGTCTCCGGAGTCCCATCCAGCACCTTAGCGAGGCGACGCAGGGTCCGCCCTACCAGCAGGAGACCTGTCAGTAAGCGAACTGCGCGGCTACATTCGGACAGCAGCGCTGCCTGAGGGTTAGCATGGACGTGTTGGTGCTTGCAGAATACTAATCTGTTTACAGCAGATCCTGGCATAGCTGCGTGCCCGGCAAAACAATGGGCCCTTTGAGTTCACCTAGACCAATGGGCTGTTCTGCAGCTAGTTCCTGCCTCGCCGCTCTGGAATTGTCCTGCAGGCAGACAAAGGACGCTTCCTGGTCGACCTTTGCAGCACGGCAAAGATAAAAGGCCTGTGTATTTTGCCCATGTTTGAAACCTGTTGCACACACGTGAGGTAAAGTGCAGCAAGGCGCCAGTGTGTAGGTGGAAACGGGGCCGGGGGAGGGTCTGGGGAGTGTGCAGTGGAGGAAATGCCTAGTTTATGGCATGGCCATGCTGGGAAAGTTCGTTGTAGCCCTGGAGCCAAATTCAGCCCTGCTGTAAACAGGCATGAATCCCATTGACCTCACCGGACGCGGCACCCACCCGAGCTGAGACTGAATGTGGGGTCTTGCGCTCGTTGGGCGGTGACTTGGGAGGGTGGTAACGGCAGCGCCCTCCTCCTGGGGCAGGGAAAGGGTTACTCTGAATGGCGAAGGAGCAGTGTTGACTGGCCTCTGACAGAAGGATTGTTTGATCCAGGGCCACAAGGAGGGAAAGGAGAAGATCCGGGGGGCCCTGAGAGAAGCCCCTTTTGGCTCCTCAGGGGAAAGCTGCGGGGAGGCAGGAGGGGGCCTCAGGAGAAAGCTGAGGGGTGGTGGGGGGAAAGTCTCAGGAGAAA